GACAAAGCTGGACTGAAAGACAGCACAGTGGCACTAATCCTGGCAGCACAAGAACAGGCTCTAAGTACAAGATCAATAGAGGCAGGGGTCTACCATACCAGACAGGACCCCAGGTGCAGGCTGAGCAAAGATGCCTCTGAGACAATTCAGTACATAACAGCAGGGTGCAAGATACTAGCAGGCAGGGCATACATGGAACACCATAACCAAGTGGCTGGCATAGTGTACAGAAACATCTGTGCTGAGTACAGGCTGGAAGCCCCAAAGTCAAAATGGGATACACCTCCAAAGGTGGTTGAGAATGACCAAGCTCAGATCCTGTGGGACTTCCAGATACAAACTGACAAAATGGTAATGGCCAACCAACCGGACATGGTAGTGGTGGACAAACAGAAGAAGGCCGTAGTGATAGATGTAGCAGTCCCAAGTGATAGCAACATCAGGAAGAAGGAGCACGAGAAGCTTGAGAAATACCAAGGGCTGAAAGAAGAGCTAGAAAAGATGTGGAAGGTGAAGGCACAAGTGGTCCCCATGGTAATAGGAACATTGGGGGCTGTGACCCCCAAACTGGGAGAGTGGCTCCAACAGATCCCAGGAACAACATCTGAGATCTCTGTCCAGAAGAGTGCAGTCCTAGGAACAGCTAAGATACTGCGCAGGACCCTCAAGCTCCCAGGCCTCTGGTAGAGGACCCGAGCTTGAAGGGAGGAAAAAGACCGCTCCAAAGTGGGGGTGAGTGGGGGATTTTTTTTATATACATGTGTGAAAGTGAGTTGGTGGACTACCTTTGAGGACAGTCAGGTGTTTTCCAGAGACAGTCATCTGCTGACACTGAACACTAGGAGGTGGAAGCACTTTCAGGGTGGTGCTGACTGGAAATGGAAGCAAGACATAGACACAGCAGTTAAACCAAAGCACTTTATGTCATTCATTCCAGGTATTAAGAAGTCACTCTCAGACTGAATATTTCTAAGGACATAAAATCTACAACCCATTAGGGGTGATTTTTATGCCATTCTGCAGTCTGAAAACCTGGTGAGGTTCAGGCTTGGACTGCAGATGATTCAAATTCTGTCCATTTGGTCTGTCCTGCCTGGTGTTGAGAGAGACAGACTGTGTGTACCCTGTGTTTTGAAGGTGTCCAGGTCCTGTCTGAAGGTGTGTGTTGGACTCCTGAGCTGCAGAAGATGTAGGTAGCCATGTTCCTTCATCTCCACCTTCTCTTCCTTCTGCATCCACACAGTCACTACGATCTGACACCACAGAAAGACAGAAAACACATAAGAGGACCAGACATCTTGCTGCAATCCATTATGGGCTCCATGCCACAACTTCTTAAATGATGATTGTGATTTAAGCCTTACCTTTGTATTTTAATGTTACAACAAAACTGTACTCAGAAAGGTTGTGCATGCTTAATATCGTTTCACGTTCATTTTCTTGTCTAATGTGGAGGTTTGTGACTGACTGCTTGTGTTCCGTTATCTGTCAGGCTGTCACAGTGAGCCCAGATTTCAGCAATTCACTTAGTAATAATTACACTGTTCTTACTAACAGAAATTATGAACAAAATGTAAAGTTGTGATAAACTGGAACAGTACATTCTCTTAACCTTCAGTTTGACAGTTAAACTGCTTCTTTTGAAAGAACTCACATTGAACCAAGGTGGGATTTACCATGTTTAAAAGCTGGCAAAACACAGTACTTACTATCTGTATAAGTGTGTTGGAGTGGGTAATATACTGTAGATAAAATCCTCTATGACAATTATACAGTCATGGCAAAAAGAAAGTACTCCCTCCTTCAATTCTATATTATTATTTATGGAGGTCCTAGAGACAATTGTATGGACCTCACCAACTTCTATATACAAAGAAAAAACCTCAGGTGACCAAAAAAATAATGTGGTTACGGTTTCCCAAAAGTAGATAAGTCAAAAAAACAAGGAAAAGCATGCCATGGGCTTTAGCAGGGACGTAGGCCAACTGCTGCATCGCCTCACGTTGCCTTTGTCTGGGCCAGTCGGGTTGAAAAAGTGGTACTTGAACACAGCGCAGACTATAGCCAACAGCGGACTAGCACATACGTTATGCGCCTGCGTGAGAGAAATAATTCCTCCTACCAGCAGGTGGTGGTATCTGTAATTGCCTTTTAGAAAGGGAAAGAAGAAGAGCTAGACTGTGGATATCCAAACCCAGAACCACCACAACTGCTTCTAATGGAGAATATGTCTGATAAGAAATTGTAAATGACTCTGCCATTCTTTGCCCTTGGTCTTTTGGTTGTGGAAGAAGAAGAAAGGAGGTAATGGAGGCAAAAAATAAGGATAAACTGTACTAAGCAGGTGAAATTATGGATACTACAGCCACAGGCTGAAGGGGCTTTCCCAAACTGTTCTCTTCTTGTACACTGATTTGGTAAGCTGAACAGCCAATCAGAGTGGTGTCTCTCCACGACAAGGTCCACTGTCGATTCAACATGCTGAATTAGCCAAAAAGCCAAAAGTACAGGACACACCAAGAAAACAAGTGACAGATGCTCACCGCCCAGCAGTGGCTGACAGCTGACCTTCAGCTACCATGTGTCCATTCACTAGTTGTACATCATGTTTAGAGGAGTTTGTGTTTTTAGAGAAATACATGCAGACTGTTTTACAAATGCTAGGTGCAAACAGGATGCAAACAACCATTCAGCCATACCTGACAAAGCAACCGTTCATTTATCACCCACTTACTGTTTCCTTGTTGCATGAAGATACAGTACAATATCATTTGCATACATTTGTGCTTGAACTTAAAGCTAAAGGCATGTCATTTATATAAACTTTCTGACATGGAGCATGTGGGAGAGCAGATTTTATCCAGTAAAATATTTCACATGAAAGATTTTAAACCACTGGTTCATTTTGTTAATGCCCTTTGCAATTAAATTATTCAAGATTTCCCAAACCACCTTGCTGTTTCATGTTCCTTCAGCCATCCCTTTTATCTGAAAATTCTGTTTTACTTTTTTGTGCTTTTTTCCATCGGCTTGTTTTAAAGAGATCTGAAAAACTGTTTCATTTCTGTAAACAAATTTCACTGATCTTTTCTCCCACATACTTCACTAATCCAAGGAAGAGACGGTGGCTTACTTTTACCTTTTCTTGTAAAGGACATGGATACGATTAAGCACTGTCAACAGTGCTTCATAGCCAGACTCAGTATCACTGGACCACAAACTGGACCAACCAGTTCAACTAAAGGCAGAAGTTATGTTGATCAACTCTTATAATTCTGAAATGCTGTTTAGGTAAAATATGATCATCTTTTTCTTGCAGGTTTTCATACTACAATATGCAGCATTGCCCACAAGAGGCTAATACAACCAGAGATACCGAAGGGAACAATACTTCAATATAAAGACATTTAGAAAAATTGATTTTGCCTTACAGTGTAACTTGTTATATCATCCAATCCTTTTTCTAAGTATGCAGGTGTGTCTAACCTTGGCTTTGACTGTGTTGGCTGGCAGCTTGTCCAAAGAAACTGTGAGACAGAAGATAACCTGGTCATCCAACACCAGAGCAGACTGCAGGGGGGTAAGCAGAGACAACACGTTAAAGGTTATGGACAGAGTTTCGCCATTTCTCTTTGGTCATTATACAGTATGTGAAATTAATTAGTATACAGATAAACAATAAGTAAGCCTTACAACTACAAGTTACTGTCATGCCTTTATTTGCAATGTTTCCTCTCCAAAGCAGAACATTTCCATCCCATTTTGAACAGTTGGCAAAGTGTTCTTTTCATCAAATGCTGCTCCTTTAGTCTTACATGCCACAACTACTGAGTCTGTTCTAACTGTAGCAGCTGTATCTAAAGCTGCTGCAACCTGTCAGTGTCATCTATCTCCAGTATGTGGGGGTCTGATTGCTGTCTGCAGGCAGTCTGGTGGAAGCTGGAGTGGGTCTAAAGCCTATGAAGGCCTGACTGCACTGTCAAGTCTAGACCCATCTGAAGCACCACAATTTGCTGCAACAAGCTGATCAAATAAAACATAAGAATAAAGAGCACAGTAAGGGTAGAAAGGAAGTATATACACTACATATTTGTGGTTTGGCTTCTTGTAAAAGTAGGTAAGGTTGCTTCCTGTCACACTGTATGTAGACCAGTGCAATGTGCGGTGATGACTGAGTTTGCAGGTCAAGTTATCAAGAGGATTAAGTTAAACATCATTTTCATTCTGAGAGAGGAGATGGTAGTGGCTATAGATAACTTGCAGTCCACCATGCAGATAGCTCAGGTTCTTTAAATGTGTGTAGCAAGATGTTGCAAATCCCTTAGTATGCCTGTTTGACCAGTGCAATGTTGTACGCTGCTATCTGCTGGAGCAGTAGCATCAGAGCCAGCAACACCAGCAAACTGAACACACTGATCAGGAAAGTACCTGCGCAATATCGCCAAAATCAAGAGCATCCTGTCTCAAAGTGATGCTGAAAAACTGGTCCATGCATCTGTTACTTCCAGGCTAGACAACTGTAACTGTTTACTATCAGCATGTCTAGGCCTAGACTGCTTTGTTGCGCCACGCGGAGTGGCAGAAAGTTACAGCAGCTGTGTCCTCGTTTTGCTCTTTTCCGTGTTTTTATGAAGTCCTGTTCTTATGTGTCTGTTCTTATGGTGTTATGTTGGTTGTTCTCGATTGCTGCTGTAACACAAAAATTTCACCACTGTGGGATCAATAAAGTACCTACGCTAATCTACGCTACTCTAATGATAACAGTAAGGTCTAAACTTTACTTTGCAAAGTGTCCTGAGATGACTCTTGTTGTAATTTGACGCTATGCATATAAAACTGAACTGAATTGGCTCTGTGCTGGGGATGTCTCTGGAGCACAGTTGGTTGGAGTTAGTTGTGCATCTTCTGTGAATCAGTTTGCTTATATATTTATACTGTCAGGAAGAGCACGGATGTGTTGACCATTCAGTGGAAAACTTATGTAAAAGGAAGTGAAAACTGTGGTTGTGAGGACAAGTTAGAGAAAATTTTTTAGACAAATTCTAGGTGTGATATCACCACTACAGCCCCTGACTATTTCTCTTCATAAAGACCAATGTTCAGTATTTCTCATTTTCAACCATTTTAACAACTATTAAAATAAATTTTTATCTTTTGAAAAGTACAAATGAAGTTAAAAGTTTAACCTACGGTAGGTCAACCTCGTCAGTGAGCTGTGGGCGTCCATGACCCTGTCACCAGTTCACCATTAGTCCTTTCTTAGACACTGTTGGTAGGTACTAACCACTGCCAGACCAAGAACACCCACCAAGACCTGCAGTGTGGGAGATGCTCTGACCCAGTCATCTCACCACCACAGTTTGGCCCTTGTCAGAGTCACTCAGATTTTTACGTTTGCCTGTTTTTCCTTCTTCCAACACATCACCTTCAAGGACTGAATGTTCACTTGCTGTCTAATATACCCCACATACAGATAGTTACGACTGTAACAAGATAATCAGTGTTATTCACTTCACTGTTTTTGTAAGTCATCAGTAAACGCTGGGACACCTATAGGAATTGTTTGCATTCATTTTCAAGACTGCTGCAGAAAAGAGCCAAGTTAACCTGTAACTTAACTAAACCTGTTAGGTCTGTTTTACATGACATTTAAATACATTTTGTTTTTGTTTTTGTTGACTTTGCTGTTTTACCTCTGGCAGTTTACCTTTTAGCTTTGTACCATTTAAGGCTACTGACTGGACCTGGACTGATTTAAAGTCATAATAGAAAGGTGAAAAATACATGTGACCAGAAATTTTTTAACAGTAGTGTAGGTTCATCATATACACCTAATTTTGTTATTGTCAAAACCTTACCTGCAACTTACTGTAGTCTACAGTTATTTTTAGATTATCCACTGAACTTGCACTAATGTAGACTACAGTGCAGCATTGGGTATTAATTATTTACAATGTATATTCATCGCCACGTCCATTTTAGGTTCGTTTTCTATTTTAGCCTATTTATTTATATAAATCCATCTGTCTATCATGTACTCCATATGCATTTACAAGTTATTGTTTTGGGGAGACATATGGAAAGGGGGACACAGGGCGTTCCCCCTTCATATACTTTAATTTTACCTTCACTGGCTCCCTCCCGTGCTGTCGCCCGTCACTGGCCGAGCTGTTGTGAATGACAAGCGGGTTGCACTGTCTGAAGTTACGGCTGATGTCCGCTCTTCTTTCGCGGTTCTCTGTGGTTCCTGTCTCCCTCTCCTCAGTCTCCTCTTCCCCATCCTCGCTGCAGCTACTCTGGGGGTCTGGCTGGTACTCGGCGGGTGTTTGCTCCCGACTCTGGGCGACGCACACACTCGCCAAAGCAGACAGAGAAGACACCAGGTTCTTCCCAGGTAAAACACCGGAGTTGTCAACCGTACCTACTGCGTTCTGGTGTTGTATCCGGGGCCGCACCACCAGCAGGAACTGAATGGTTTCACCGAGGTAGACGTGCTTTCGACGTGGAAGACTCGCATACTCTGCCGAATCCGAGAGACTCGATATTGGAGCGGCAGGAAAATACATAAAATACTCGCATTGTGATTCCATCATTAACAGTTACAATCCCGATGTTAATAATGGAACCGAACTGTCAACTCTCTGCCAACAATATACGGTATATAAATCGGGGCTGAAGTCCCACAGTCTTTTTATGTATGATTTTAAAAAACCACTATCAAAAGAGACGCGAACTAAAACAGTCTAATATGTAATTATCGCAAATAACAAAACTAAGGTATCGTTCGTCTGTATATCCATTTTCACTGCTTAACTTCCTTTCACTAGATGCAAAACAAACAACAGGGCCGTTGGTGGATCCCCGAAACAGTGCGTTCACCAGACCAAGCTAATCAACCACCAGAACACCGAACCGAACCCACAGTGTTTTCTACACAACAGAACCAAGCACACTGACAGGGCTTAAAGAGGTAATAGAATTAGTTAGATTCCTGGGTTTTTTGTTTGTTTGTTTTAAGTATTAAGAATTGAAGTCTTATATCCAAGCTTTCCTATTTGTCTAAAATCCTAAAATCACTAGTTAACTCACCACTATGTAACTACCTGGAGGTAAACTCATTTTCTTAACAACTCCAGGTATGCTAACACCTGACTCCAATTAGCTTTTTGAGGTCATTAACTCAAGAGTTCACATACTTTTTCCACTAGCACTATGAGGTTTTTATGGTTGTTCTCAATAAAGACATGATAGACCAAAATAATTTTTTGTGTTGTTTTTGTAGACACATGATATTAATCTGTACTCCTGACTTGGATGAAGATCAGATCACATTTTATGACAAATTAATGCAGAAAACCATGAAATTATAAAAGGTTCACATACTTTTTCTTGCCACTGTAATGGCAGCAACTGCTGTTGTGAATTACATAACTCACTCGATAAAAAACAACATTGTGCTGCTTTTTAACATTGTGCTGATAAAGGTCTTTCTATCAAAATGTTATGCTACTGTCGATTTAAAAAGTTTTAACAAGCGACTCATATAACACTTGTTCAGTACTTTTTACAGCTACAATCTTTTCCATAGGAAATGGACGTAGCACTTTTCAGTGGAAAATCCCTAGTTAATGCTTCCATTCTCTTTGCCACATGACAATTTATGCAACATTACAACTCAAGTTCAGCTGAATGATTTGATTTGTTTTCAAGTTGTTCACCTCATCATCCAGCTGCTGAAAACAACATGTTGGTAACCAACATGAAAATCAAGGAGATCAGTCAATACTCCAAGGTATGTAAAGTGCCTTAAGAAAATTTTTGTTGCGATTTGGTGCTTTATAAATAATTTGAACTGAGTTAGAGAAGTCAAATGAATGTTACTTTTATTCAGTATGAGGAACAAATTGAATGGATGCACACAAAGAGCATGACATACTACAAATTTTAACAAAAATAAGCAGTTTCAAGTAAAATCCAAGCAAAGGTACACTGTTGTTTTCTGAATGAGCTCTTGCACTTCCAGTTCAGAACAGTAAAGGACTTTCTGTCAGGGGTGTGAGGATAGCAGGAGAGAGGTGGAAGCTACTCAAATGAAGTGTGCATGACAAAAGATGAATACTGTGTACCAGACCTTCCTGTCTACCAGTCTTATACACAATGTAACATACAGCATATTCACATGAAAACTTAAAATTCTCCTAACAAGTTACAAAAATAAGCCACAGTACCATATCAATAAAAACGCTTAAACCAGATTTCTCCTGGAAGAATAAAACCAAAGCTTATCAGTTGTCTGGAAGACAGGCATGAAAATTAAACAGTTTTCATTTCTTTTTCTGTTACCTATCAGCAGAGACTGTACCTTCCCAGATACACTGGGAGTGTAGACAGGGATTAAAATGTGTGTACACAGTGTGTACAGGACCACACCATATTCAACAATGAAAAAAAAAAATTAAAAGTCATAATTACATACATAATAGTATAATTGTGTATAAATAGTGATACTTTGGTTCAGAGGAAGAGGGCTGGGTGACATGGTTGAAATCAACATCATGATGTCGTGTACAAAACCACCATAGAAAAAAATAAAATTTCTGCTTAGTGTTTCACTGTTGTGCATTATCACATGTTTTATAATCTGCACAAATTATAACAGTTACAAACTGGGTTTTGTCAGCAGTGTTTCAACACCGTCTGCACATATGGATGAATGTGTGTAGATTTTCTCATCAACATCAGCAGTGACAGTGACACAGTTCCCCGCTTACCTCCAAAAACATAAACCCTGATAAATACAGTATGCACAAATTGCAATAATAATAATAATAATAATAATGATAAAGGAGGACACTGTTTTAAAGCCTTCACTCATAATATAACATTCTAAGGCATGAAAAAAAATCTATTGTATTTCTGACTGCAGCTGTTAGCATAGTGTTTCTCCTACAGGTCATTTGCGTTACATTGTATTGACTTGTCTTTTGGTTGATAGGAAATGTCAGTATAGAAATGCCAAAGATATTTTTGAGGTCATTCATAAAGAAGTGTCTCCATCCAGTTTGTCTACTAGAGAGCACTAAGAAGTTTTTAAAATGTACATCATAACAGTCAAACCTCTCACCATACAAGGAACCCTTATCAAAAATGTTTATGTTGTGGTATGTTTACATAATGACCTATTAAAAAAGTTTGTATAAAAAAATTTCGCTGTTAATTAGCCTTGATTAACCATTTCCTAGAACCCTAACATTCAGTTAATGAGCGGCTTGTGAAAAAAATCTTTAAGGGAACATTGTTTAAACTATACAGCCACCAGATGGAAGCCAACCTTCTTAGCAGCTTATATCGTGGGAAAAAGGACACCCAGTCAGGCTCAAGCTACCATGAATACTCTGACAAAGAAAGGTTTCTTCCACTGAAGTTAGATGTTGGATAGAAAGGAAATCATGTCATTCAACTGCAGGAACACAGCTTCCTATTACTGGTGGTAGCACTGAACACACTGATGCTGAGCAGCCTTTTAGTCTGTGGGAAGAAGAAATTCTGCATCATTTTTTATTAACAGGGTTTGTGTTGACTTTAATGGAGGAGACCTTCCTGAGTCAGAGAAATCTGTACTGTATTTTATTTTGAGTGATGAAATATGAGTGAAATGTGCCTGAGATGGTGGTGCAGGGGAGCCATACAGTACTGTGATCCAGGTTATTGGACAGACTCCATTTTGTCACTCTAACTGAAGCAGATTTCAAAGTGGTTTCAGATTATGGTGGAATAAATATAAAGCAGTGGTTGCTTGGAAGGAGGGAAAATGAATAAACACAGGTAAGGCCCTTTCATTTTCAACTTTTTTATCATCTCTTTGACTCAGTCACTAAACTGGGTGACTAAAAGCTGATCAACAATCTGTTTTTCAGCAGATGAAAAGGAGGAGGTATCCATTCAAACACAGTGCAGTAAGCCGAATCCCCCCACGAGGCAGACGGCTCTAAGGTGACACCATTCACACTGCACAGGATGGATCATACAATGTACTGTTCTGTGGAAGACCTCTTTGTGTTTATAATTATTAGCATCAATCAGTTAGATGTTCTGTATTAGATATTTTAAAAATAATCAACTTTTCCAGACCTTCCTTCCATAGCTGCACCTGTACAATGACTCAACAGTCACATTTCTCACCGTTTTACCAAAGTTTTCAAGACCTGAAAGTTGGCAACTTCTTATTTTATTGTTGAATCTGGTAAACTTGTTCTTATCCAGTATAAAACCAAAAACAAAATGTGTAGCAGTTCCACTTGTATTCAGTATTGGGTGCAGTATGGTCTTCACTGTATTCATCTTAATCTACTGTATATCATGACTATGGAGAATGCTCAGTTCTGATTGGTCAGAGGCTGTGCATTATTTTCAGGTTTCTCTCTAGATATCACTCTGAAATGACCTGACTGCATGGCTGTAAAAAACTGGACCATGGTGCTTCAGAGGTGTCACAGGAAAGTCTACTGTATGTGGTACTGACTGATAGCAGTAAGGCAAAAAACCACAGCACACAGACTCCTCCAAAGTTCTTTGTTCATAAACAGACCAGCTAGTCTGCTATCCAGTCCCACGGCAGCTAGCAAAATGCTCACAACTCACACCATATGAAAAACAAGTTAACAAATGTATGTAAGACACAGGTGACCGAGCACATGATATACAGTCAATTTGTGTCTTCTTATGGTTATTTTGAATCTTTAGCATTTGTATCATTTTCACTCGTTTTGCACCTCTTTTCTTGTTTTGTCTGTCGTTTTGTTTTGCATCTCTTTTTTGTTTTGCTTTGCATATTTTTGTAGTCATTTTGCTGTCTTTTCGGTTGTCTCTTTTTAGTCATTGTGTGTCTCTTTTTAGTTAATTAGTATCTCTCTGTAGCAGTTTTGCATCTATTTTCTCTGTTTTGTGGCTTCTGTGCTGGTTTTTGTAGTAACTTTATAGACTTTTAAACAGAAAGGTTAGCAGTTCCCTCACCATTATCTGGTCTAGGGATCCTCTGACCCCATGGACCCCTGAGGCCCATTCAGTAATCCATTCATGTACTGGGCAATGGCTGCCCATCGCGCCTACCTACTCTGGAAGGGTCAAGGTCAATGAACATCCTCTGTGACAACAAATAAACAGAAAAGTTTTGTCTTTTGTGTTTGAAAATGGTCAGCATTTGCATGACAATGCTTTCAAAATGATCTCAGTTTACATGGCTCTGGAAAAACAACGTAACGTGCCTGCCAGGCTGGTAGTTAGCGGTGTTTTAGCCAACAGAGTGTCAGTTCAAACAAGGCAGTACAAACACTTAAGGAGATAGTGGCAAACACATGCATAATCCATTTTGTGTGGATTGACGACGAAGTAGGCTTATTACTTTAAGTCACCCTAAACTATAAAATAAGGAAGATGCTGGAAAATGTTGATAGGGAGTCATGCCAATCAAAATGGATATTTTTAAGGCGTATTTAGAGCAGTAAATGACAAGCGGACCTGTAGAAGGGAAGGAATTTAGGTATGACAAAAACTTTATTTCCAAAGTCCAGGTGACCATTGGGGGGGGGGCAAACAACACCATAGAAAACTCCATAAGAACTTCTGAACTGCAAGCCGGTGCTGAAGACTCTTTGACCTCAAGCACTCTGCAGTCTGCTGCCGTAAGTTGTGAACACCCAAAAAGAAACAGTCCAACTCAGTTTCTTCATTAACTGTACATTTGTTTATGCTATATGCTAGCACTGTTGGATTCACCTGTTGGCCATACATGCAATGTTCTATTATAAATCCTACATTAAATGTTCATAATGTGTATAGACAATTTCATGAGCGTTAACTTTATGGCAGTACAGCCATTGAATTTTATTTGATTTGACATCATGTCTATTTAGTTGAGGGGCCTGTTTTCCTTTCTGTACAAAGGGGGGGTTAAATGTGTTGTCCTAAGATCTACTTCTTTTTCAAGTTACCCATTTCCCCTCTGCCCTATTTGAGGCAAGGCTAAACAGCTGCAGAGCAGAGAGGCCAAAGAGACACACAGACAAAAACAGTGATAATCATCATTTCAACCATGGTCTCAATTGTTACAGAAAGCTATTAGAGTTCATTTGACAATGATATATATATAATTAAAATTCAGGGTTTCATTTAAGTGTTACCAGTG